GATGGTTGGAACACCGATCGAGCTTCTTATTTATATCAAATCAGGGAGAGATAAAGACTTGCCGCCAATGCGTTTTACGGCCAAAGCTGATGCGCAATACAGCCTCAACAAGCACATGGGGACTAGGACAAAAGCGCACAATGCATAATCCGTCTGAGCGGGAGTGCCAACCATTATACAGATCGGAAGCAGCCGGCAATAGGTCAACCTTGTGTTGCGAGTTGAGGCGCGAACCCTTGTCACAAATCGGGAGGCACGAGAATGGTAGAATGTCACAGCCAACCCTGAGGCATCAGTTACTACTAAATTCGGTTCGATAAAAGATGTTGTCGAGCACAGCAAAGTGGTCACACAAGACAGCCGGTTGAAGGAAACGAACGGAGGCTAACCGATGTTCACAATTTCAAGCGCCGCCCTTCACGTCCTTCGCCTCCGACCAATCGAATTCGCTTGCCCATCCTCCGCCTCTCAGCTATGCCCCGCCTCGCCAAAGCCACTGCTACCGAAACCGAGGGCGAGTCCCGCCGGTCCACAAGGATCAAGGCCATCGAGGCGGCGAAACCAGTCGCAGCCGCACCGAAAAAGAAAGCGCCTGCGAAACCGCGGGCCCAGAAGGAGAAGGCCGACAACGCCGTGGAAAAGGCACCTGCAAAGAAGAGTAGAAAACGCGCTGTCGATGCTGATGACGAGGAGGCGAAGAGCGAGGAGCCTGCTGCGAAGAAGGTATGTCTATGCACGCTTTGTCCATGCCATGGTATCAGGCAATGACCGGCCTGTTTCTACCTCCCAGGCCAAGTCGGAAAAGAAGCCTGCAGAAGAAGACCCAACGGACGACTTCAAGCCGCTCGAAATTGGCGACATCCTGCCAGATATCGCGCTTAAGAACGAAAAGGGCGAGGATGTCTCAGTCAAGGATCTCGCTAAAGAGACTGGCGTCGTCCTGTTCCTGTTCCCAAAGGCAGATACACGTGCGTATTGGCTTGCTAGGGTGCTAGGTAGCGTTTGGCTGACAGGCGCGGGTTCCATTGGTTCAACTTTCAGCTGGCTGCACCAAACAGGTATGCTAGATTATTGCTCCCATGTTGAGACACCGCTCATCCCCACTCTCACCAGGCTTGTGGCTTCCGTGACGTCTACGACGAGTTTCCCGCCAATGGATACACTGTCTATGGCCTTAGCGGAGACAGTGGGGCCGCAACGACTAAGTGGCAGACTAAGGTTCGTCCGGTTGGCACATAGTTGAAGGTTTGTCAGGTCACCGTGTTGATTGCCGACTTGTCTACTCTCTCAGAAAAATCTTCAGTTTTCCTTCCTCTCTGATCCGAGCAGGGAACTCGTCAAGGCACTAGGCGCACTTAGCGGCAAGTCAACCAAGCGTTCTCACTTCATTTTTGAGAAGGGCGGGAAGCTGGTTGACAAGAAGATTCCAGTCAAGCCAGAGGACAGGTGCGTTTGCACGGCTTGGTGCCAAATGTCCATCGCTGACGCGGCGTTTTTCTTAGCCCTACCAAGGCTCTGGCGTTCATCAAGAGCCATAACAAGGCTTGAGTTACGACTCAAACCCTCCCACTCTCAGGCCTACTGTCAACATGCTTTTCGATTATTTTTACTGCACACGTTGGCCACATCTTTGCGTCAGCACCACATCATGACCCTAGTTCTATGTACGCTTTGCCATTTTGCGCGGCAACCGCGTTGTACTCGATCGTGAATTGCTTATCTCGTACGTCGATTGCTTGAGTATGCTCTGTCAGTGCATTGCTGTTGCTCTCATGTTTGTTTAGCATGTGGTCAAGAACATACATTGCCCAGCCGAGTAGCACGAATCTGAATGAGTATATGACAAATGCCAGAGACCCAAGCGTTGCCCACGCTACGCGTCCTACTACTCCTTCGCTATCGGCCACTGCTCGCGACGGAGTTCGTACCATTCCTGTGGCCAGCTGTACACACCCAATGGTTCCAGAGGAGGCTGACCTTCGGGCTTCACTGGTTGGAAACCTGCACGCTGTAGCGCATTCTCCACGTATGTCGACAGAGTAGGAGCAACCAGCATCCGAACGTTGTTTACACTGAGCGGGGCTTTCTTTGCTAGTTGCACGAGTGCGAACCGAAGCAGTTCATCCACAGCGTTCGGGGACGACCTACGAGCATTGAGATCTACATGGAGCGAGGTGATGATGGCTGTCTCAGGCTGCGTTGCCTGCTTCGTGGTTTTTTGTATGGCTGTTGAAGTGGCTGTCGCGCCAGGGTCTACACGGTCAGGGTCGATGTCGACCGCAACAACTCCGAGCGTCTTGCCCTTGCTCGTCTGCATGACCCACACACCGGCGCCGTGTTTCGCAGACCTAGAGAATGCGGCCGGGTCGACCATGTCGCGCGCCTTGACACGCCGCTCTGCCCGCTCCTCAAACTGCTCCCTATGGATGCGATTGATCCGCATGACGATGGGCACAGCAGCAACGAGAGGTCCGCGTAGGACGCGCATGTATGCGAGTAGCGCGTACCACCCGGGATAATCGTCCTTGGGGTACCACTCGAGGCTGTAGATTAAGAAAGCGGCTAGTACGACCCATCCAGCGATAGTATACGGGTGCAGGTAGGCTGTTTATTGCAGAAAGAGAATTATGAGTCCATGTTGGAACATTATGTACAGTACTGACCCTTTCGGTTCGCGAGCCGGTGCTCGTCCACGAGGGCTTGCGCAGCAAAGAGACGCGCAGAAGACGAGTCCGTTGCGGAAGCCACGCGATTTATTGTGGTGGCATTGTCGGAGGACATGACTGGTGATGGTCAAAAGACAAGGCCAGACTGACACGATACCCGCTGTGAAATTCCAGCCCCGCGAGAGCCAAACTGCCGACTTCAGGGTCTTCCTAAGCAGTATCCATGTTGCGAGTGCAGCCTCGTGCAAGCAAAGAGCACGGACATCCTAGGTGTATGAGCCAATCCAGTTCATTGTAGGAGAGAGTGGTGAGCGAGAATCCGGAAGCAAAACGCAACTTGCGCTCTTGCCAACATGTTCAAGAAACGAACACGCCCTACGACCACACGAGAGCGCGAGGTCGAGGGCGAGCAACCCGTGGACCCCACCCCTGATGCTGCAGCCAGCGAGGAGGCAGCTGAAGAAGCCATCGAGTATGTTCATTTAGCAGGGTGGCTGAGCCATACTCTGACCGACCTTGGAACGCGCAGCATTGCAGACCTCCTCGAGCTGCGGCGAATGAAGCGCGCGCGGGGTGGTATTGACTCCAGCAAGCTTGCTGTCGGAGACCAGCGCAAGCGACGCAAGATAGACCCAGACACGCTAGGCACCGTCTCACACGCCGGCTTGCGCGAGGTCACACGCGAAGGCGGTGCGGACGAGTAAGTCCAGCTTATGTTCCGGACTGCTTTAGTGTATGCTGATGAGGCGAGTGAGCTGGAGGGCGATGAGGTCAAGGCGCGCCGTGCGGTGCGCGCCAATAACTTCACACAACAGACCAACGCGCTCGACGTGGATAAGCACATGATGCGGTACATCGAGGACAGCATGCGCGAACGGCACGGCGCGCGTCCAGGCGACGAAGACGAGTCTGCGGACGCAAAGGACGAACCTTGGGATCCTGAAGCCGAGCTCTACCGGGTCGAGCCCATATTCCCGACTTCAACAGTGTCGATCAAAGCTCAGGAAGCGGCAGCTGCGGCGGCGGTTTCTGCTGCTCGCGCTGAGAAGGAACGCAAAGCTCAGGAGGAAGCTGCCAAGAAGAAGAAAAAGGCAAATGAGGAGGGCAGCGTCACGAACAGTCTCGCAATGCTCACCGCCATCCCTGAAGTTGACCTCGGCATGGAGTGCGTACCTAAGTGACGAACTATAATCGATCCACTAATACTCCCTCAGCACACGGCTGAAGAACATTGAGGAGACCGAGAAGGCCAAACGCGACGCCGCAGACGCGAAGCGCGACCGACAATGGGTCGACCGCGACGACCTCGTCGCAAGTAGATGTGAGTAATATCTTCCACACCTGGCCATCTTGCTAACGCTGTACTCAGTCTACCGTGGCCAAGACCGCAATAAGCTCAAGACCGATGACGAGCGATTGCAAAGTGCCATCGCCGTCGAATTGGGCCAAAAGCCCGACCCGGCCAAGCGTCAGCACAACAAGAATTCGCGTGACCAGCGCACCCAGGTTGCAACGGATGATATCGTGCGTCTTGGTCAGATCGTATTGTCATTCAATGTTCACGAATTCGCAGGCCATGGAACGATTCAAAAAGCGAATGGCTGCTCAACGCAGATAGGAAACCGTGCATGTTGTGCTACGGTCTGTTGGTGAAGGTTCTGTCTTGTTGCTTGTCTCCACATCTAGCTTATCAGTTATATTACCGAACGCTTCATGTGCTAATATTGACATGCGCAGCACATACAATTCCTTTGTCACAGTCGACCTGCGGGGGGCTCAAACTGAACACTCTCCTGTTGCATGAGCGACAAATGACCTGGAGCCACGCATTTGGTCATTCAATGTTTTAAATGAAGTCTTCTGAGTGCGCGAATGTTATAGTTTCAAGGTTTCGACAAAAATTTCCTCGCGGGGCTGCAAGCTATGATACATGACCTGGGCGGCAGCAGCAGCACCGTAATCATCGAATTCTACCACAAATCAAATCACATTAGGGTCGGGTTAACACGCATCACATGCACACGTACTGATGCTCCCGGTCTATAGACGAGTCATTTGAGATGCTGACCTGACCTGTAGTTCACGAATATTTGGATAACTGCGAACATATGTCCACCGGCAGCGAACTGTCGACGGGGCGCGTCGCAGCGATTCCCACATCAACAATTCGGCTATCTGACAAAACGGCCGAAGTCTGAGAGCGGGATGCACTTCATATGGCACTCATCCGGTATGCAGTAGAATACTCGACCCCGGTCTGCCGTGAATTTTGCAAAATCGAAACTCTGAAGTACAATCAAATTCTAGGTGACACGGGTTTTCCTGCTTATGATAGCCCCAATGGCCAAGTGGTTAAGGCGTCAGCCTTCTATTTGCCGAATAGCTGAAAATCGCGAGTTCGACCCTCGCTTGGGGTATAGCTTTGCTCCAGACAATGGGAGTTGCGGCACCTCGTGTGCATTATTACCGTTCTTGAGTGTTTTGCTTGTTTGTACTGCAATTTCCGAAGTGACAGCGTGGGAGAGTGGAAGCAGTGGGATTGCCGGAGTGGGATGATGTCCGGCCGGTGATTGAAACGAAATTTAGCGCCGCTTTGTGCTCGTTGAACTCTCGCAATGTCTGGGCTGAAGAACGGCCTCAAGGCATCGCTCTCAAAAATCCTCGACTCGCACGCAGACGAGCTCGCACCCGACGCGACTACAGAGGACAAGCCTGAAGCTGACGAGGAGGAAGTTGCGCGAGAGGTAAACCCTTTGGCGTGCGTCGAGTGCGAAGGTTGGTTGCGACAGTCACAGTCGATTGTGCTATATCTAAACTCTTGGCAGACCAATCTGCCCAACTGCGATGTGAGCAGTGCAGTGATCTGTTCTGCGACGTGTGTTTCCAGAGCCAGCATCGCAAGGGCTCGCGCAAGACGCACACGACAACCCCTGTCAAAGGCGCTGAGCTCCTCCTCCGCCAGCAGGCTGCAACTCAGAATGGTGTGACTGCATCATCGAGCCAGGTTTATAGATCCTCAATCAGCATTGCTATGGCTGACTGGCTCCTCGTTGTACAGATGGATGTATCCGAAGACGGCCAGACTGCCGAACCCGAACCACCCGTGCAGCGGGAAGCCGTGGTTCTCGGGCCACAGCCTGACGATAACGCGCCTGTTGGCGAGTGGTTCATCGAGCGGGCAAAATGCATTCCGCTGCGCCTCACTCTCACGGAACGCAAGTACCTGCGCCTACTGGAGGCCGCCTTGACCGTCAGGCAAGTTCAGTCACGAATGAACAACGTGAAGTGTCGCGTGCCTCTTGAACAGCAGGCTGACGCGTGTCTTTAAGCGAATACACCGACAAGATTGACGTCTTAGGTTACAATGTGTCAAAGGCAAAGCGCATTGTGTATCAAATCAAGGAGCTTTGCACACTTCTCTCTGGTCTCGTCCTCGCCGCCGACTACAAGCAGGGACAGGAACTTTTTGCGGACCGCGACTTTGCCTCCAACAGCGAGTTCTTTCAGTCTATATTTGAGCTTGGGTGCGTGGCTGTCACGCCTCGCAGCTCGAGGGTCGTCTGCTGACATTCATTATCTGTTGCGCTACGTACAGTCGGCGGCACAAGATCATGAACCCCGACAAGATGCGGGAAACTTACGGTATTGCCGTTGTATATTGCTTATGCTGTATGCACTGACCATAGGCCGTGTCTTTTGACAGGCAAACTCATGTACTGCCTAATGGACGCGCAAATACCGGAAATTTCGGACACTCTGGGTTTCGTCTGCGTGTCTCCGCTCAAGACCGTCTACACAGTATTAGAAGCCGCCGGTGCACTCGACATGCTGCGAGACCCACGGATAACGGCAGCCACGAAGGAGATCACATCCGAACCTGGGATATCGCGGCGAGGCATCGACAAATCGATCAAGTCAAAAGAGCGCGCAATAGAGCAGCTCGCGACCGAGTATGCACGCGCTCCAGGCGCGCCTGGGGAAAAGGGCCTCACCGCTGAACAGGCTCGACAATGCATCTATAGCATCGGCGACAACCACGCGTTCTTGCGCGTAAACCGCGACCCGTGCGAGAAGATGATTATGTATCTGAAGCAGTACTTCACCTCGTCGAAACCTGCTGATGGGCGGTCGTTGGCGATCCGGAGCGGAAAGAGCGGCGCGCGGCTCAGCCATGACCATTCGACGCAGTATGCATACGTGCTTCAGAGCTTGACGTTGTGGCGCGAGATTCTGAACGACTTCTTCTACCTCTGGAGCCTGGCAGAACAGGATCTCACCTCCAACCACACAATTTACAGGCTGCGCGACACCGGCCAAGGCCTCAACCGCGTCCAGCCTGCACCCAAAACATCTCGTGCTATGCACGCCATTCTGAACCGAGCACAAAGGCGGATTGGCAGCTGGGTGGGCAGCTCTGTAATCGTAGGTCTTGCTTGTTACATTCATCTGAGATTTATAGTTGACGCATCATCAAGCACATGGGCGACCACAACGTGCCGAACGCGCTTATGTTCATCGACAAGTACTCACAAATCTACCGCATTCTGCTGCCCATCTGCAACACGCTCTCGCAATTACCACAACTCATGGAGAAACCGGCTCTGAAGCAGTACATCACCGCAGAATTTGGCTCGCTCGACGGTGCGTACATCGCGATTCTGGGCGACTTCTTCCGCCACGGCTTCGATGGGAGCGGCGCAGACAACTTTTTCGATGCTGGGTCTTGCATCGACGGGCGTTTGACAAGCGCGTGGAACTGGTGTTCGAGTATCGAGAAGAAGAAGTTTTTTCAGCTGTTCCTGTTGACTGGGTTCACTAGCTTTGACTTTTGAGCTCGTTGAGTGCGTATACAATACACGGTGTCCAGAGCGCCGAACTCTGTTCAAATCTCACGCCTGGCGTGGGCTGAGTCCAGGTGCAACCTTTGGTCTTTGCATTTTAGATCGCTTTGTTATTCTCAAAACCAGCATGTGCTTTTCGGAAGCACGGTGTATGCAAATTTAGTACAGGTGTCGCATGGAAGAGTTTAGAACGAGTAATAGTTGAGGATTTGAACTTGCTTAATTAACCAAACCGAGGTGCTGAGGAACTACTTGCTTTTCATTATCAAGCCAAAGAACTGGCAAGTTACGAAGTTTATGATGAAATTGTGCGTTGTACGAGTGTCTTGGCACCATGGAGTTGTGTTGAACGTGACGGAGCTCATGATCTCCAAAAGTTCGGCTGATGCAGGGAATGCACTGTATCGTCTAGGTATGCTGTGAGATAGTCTGACACGTTATTATCTTGAACTGTCGTTCATTAGCTATATATTAGGCACCGTCCGGGAAGCCGCGAGATCCTATATTACACACTCGGCAGATGCACTTACCTCACGGCTACAAAAGTAGACCTTTTATCCTTAACTATTCATGGCAATGCGCAGGTGATGCAGCTATCATGCAGTTCTGTTCCAGTTGGAGCTTCCAGTCTTTTTGGCCAAAGCCTTTTCTCGTAACAGCTCCAAGATTCATCTATGGATTAGATATGCTCTGTAGATAGCCGGGCCATCTTCACGCCACGTGAGCGAAGATCTGTCTTCACGTGTCCAAGGCCGACACGGGGAAGCGGGAGAAGCAACTTTAAGTGCAGCGCTTCAGTAAGTCTAACGCGGGAAGATTTTCGGTCAATTATCGCTGCTAGATTCTCCGTCAGCTGAACCTCGCTGATGTGGCAAGCCAAACTCCGAGCCGCTATACTTAAGCTGCAGACCAGATAGACATTTGCCTTTGTCGTCGATCCCGTCGACCGTGCACCTAGGCCAAAATGCTTTCTTGGGCACCTCTGAATCAAATCACCGTCGCAGTGCTTGCTCTATCGAGCTTGGTCGCAGGGCAGTCGGCTCCCGTGAAGAACGAAACTGGTGTATCTGCATGGCCATTCGATTTGACCGCAGTCACCCTCACCAGCAGCCGCTTCATGGACAATCAGGCGCGGACTCTCACGTACCTGAAGTTCGTCGATGTCAACCGCATGCTGTACGTTTTCCGCAACAACCATAAACTATCCACGAACGGCGCAACGGCGAATGGGGGATGGGACGCTCCAGACTTTCCTTTCCGCTCGTGAGATTGCCTCCGTGCTCACAAAATGACATGCTTACTTTGTTATAGGCATATGTACGTTATATTCAACGAGCGCTGGATTCTTGGCTGAACGATATGGCAGGCAAGGTCACCTGCTGACCGCCTGGTCTCAGTGTTGGGCCTCGCTAAAGGATACAACCTGCCGGGACCGCGCGACCAGTTTCGTCGCAGAACTCTCTAAGTGTCAGGCCAACAATGCCGCGGCTGGGTTTGCGACCGGATATCTGTCCGGCTTCCCAGAGAGCGAGTTTAATGCGCTTGAGAACGGGACTCTCTCCAATGGTGTGCCATTTCCCGCATCTTTAAAGTACCGCTGAATGCTGGATTGGCAGGGAATGTTCCGTGGTATGCTCTGCACAAGACTCTCTCCGGACTTTTGGATGTCTGGCGCTGGACGGGCGATTCCACTGCCAAGAGCGTGACTCTCGCACTCGGCGGCTGGGTTGATACTCGCACCTCAAAACTCAGTACGAGTCAAATGCAGTCGGTTATGAACACCGAGTTCGGCGGAATGAACCAGATTCTTGCTGATATCTACTACATGACTGGCGACTCTAAATGGATCACTGCTGCGGCCCGTTTCGACCACGCTGCCGTCTTTGATCCCCTGGCCGCCAACACCGACTCGCTGAACGGTCTCCACGCAAACACGCAGGTACCTAAATGGATTGGTGCTGCTCGGGAGTACAAGGTGCGCATGAGAATGCACTTACTTGGATCGTCCACGGGACTGAATCTTGTAGGCGACGGGCACCACTCGGTACAAGACGATTGCCACAAACGCATGGAACATGGCTGTCAACTCACACACATATGCTATCGGGGGTAACAGCCAAGCCGAACACTTCCGCGCCGCGAATGCCATTGCCGGGTATCTGACAACGGACACTGCGGAGAGCTGCAACACTTACAACATGCTGAAGCTCACCCGAGAGCTATGGACCATGAGTCCAAGCAATGCCGCGTATTTCGACTTCTACGAGCGGGCAGTTCTCAACCAAATGCTTGGTCAACAGAACCCTAGCGACTCTCATGGTCATGTAACGTGAGCGCACCGCATTGCTAAACAATAGCTAACTCAAGGATAAAATTCAGTTACTTTACCTCCCTGAACCCCGGGGGAAAAAGAGGACTAGGTATGCACTCTCTCATTTGTTGAAACTGTTGACGAAATATTCTCTCCTACTCTTCTTGCCCATGTGCGACATGTCGATTTCGTTGTTCCATCTCCGCCGTTATCTCACCATTATAAGGCCCAGGTATATAGTTTCTTCTTTGGATTACATATTCTA